CCCAGAAGGGATGTGACTCTGGGCCTTGCGAATACATCTGATTGGCGATACCTCACGACACACCAGGACTAATAATGCACAAGGACTAAAAGGTATTTTTTCTTCCTCTCTAAAACTCGACGTGCATACGAAGCACGGCGGACTCCGTGATCGGTAGAAAAAATGGCTAGTTTGGAGATGCTCAGACATGCCGGTCACAATCCCGCTCCGTAGCTCACGAGAGGCTGAACTGCCACCTCGCATGTCTCACAGCACTACATAAATTTTTCCGGCAATAGGAATGGCGGTGAAGGCGCTCTCCCCGGCCTGAAATTACGAATCGAGGCACAGAGTACGGAGTACTCGATATTCTGTGCGGCCAAAGGCGAAAACGCCAACACTTGTCCTCGCTCCGCATCGTTGGATGCACATGTCGCTCACATGTCGGCGCATTTAGTTGACCACCATCTGCGACGGTCCTCTCTTCTCAGACAAGCAACATGTCCAGCAAAGAATCAATGGCCACTCTGATGCAGCAAATCCATATCGGGCTCGGCCGCGAGGGCTACGTGCCCGTCGCCCACCACCACGCCGACAAGGCCACCTACACGCAGGAGCACGAGGCAATGCAGGCCAGTCTTGTGAATAGCTGTCCGGCCCATTTGTGGCCGAAAAACTCTCACAAGGCCGCATGTCCGCGCCCGATCCTCATGACTAAACAGCACCAGACACAGCTCGCCGAGCTGCACGAGGCACTCACCGCTGCCATCACCGACATTGTCGAGCGGTGGTGGACGGACAAGGAGAGTCGGTTTCCGGAGCGAATGCCTCTGACGAGCAAGGAAGAAGACCTCTTACAGGTGAGCACGGATCGTCACAAACACAGTCAGTTTAAGAGGCTAAGACGTCGAATGCCTCGTTGCGTAGTGGCTCGAAGAGCAAGTATCGCGCGGCACCCTGCCAAAGTACGCCCAGTGTCGCGGAGGATGGCGACCAGACTTTATGATTGAGGATCCTTGCGACGACGGCCTCGGCATTGAAAACTTTCGCATCACCGAAATCAACGCGCGCTTCAGCTTCAATGGGTTTATGCACCAGGCGTACGGGCAGCGAGCCCTCGACGACATGGGCGTCAAGGCTCACGGATTGGTGGCTGCCACCAGCGCCGCCAGAGTAAGTCCCTCGCCATCAATCTGCCATGGTCTTGTTCAAGGTTCTGACGCGTCCCAGGCGCTGGACGGGTTATTGGGCCTCTTCCGCGTCGACGTTCCCCTTCATCTGTTGAAAGCCGAAGAGAAGGGCATGGACATTCACATGATGATGCATGACTTGCAGCGACGGTTTGGCTTTAGGCCGCGGCTGATAACCCCCGCGGATCTTAGGCTGCTCCCCGATCCAGAAAACAGCAGTCGCCAGAAGCTGTACTGCGTCGTCAGGACCAACGGCCATAGTGGCTCTTGCGCGCTCAAGACTCATCACGGAGAAGTGGTCGAAGAGATTGTCCAGCTGGGGTTGGAGCTGCACCAGCGTGAGCTGCTGGCGTTGGAGCCCGAGATGCTCCGCCAAGTCTGTCTGCTTGGTTTCAACGACATGAGGACGCTCTTGCTTGTCCATGACAAGCGCATGCTTGGTATTGTGCGACAGGAGCTTGGGCCGCTGGTGGCGAGAGGAGTGGTCACACAGGCACAAGCAGAGGTCCTAGACAAGGGAATTGCGCAGACGATTCTTGCTGGCTCGGCAGAGCTGCGACAGCTCCTTGCCAAGTCGCGCAGTTGTCCCAAGCTGCGGCATCAGTATATCCTGAAGCCTATCCGCGGTGGAAAGGGGGCCGGGATTCTGTTTGGGGATAGTATTTCCATAGACGTGTGGATTCATACGTTGGAGCGCATGCAGACTGCTGGTCTGGGTTCCGAGGCGTCCTACGTTGTGCAGCGACGCATTACGCCCCGGCTGTACGACATGGTGTTGGATAGCTCTGGTGATCGAGTACAGTACCCCCTTGTTGGGACATATCATGCCGTACATGGAACGCTTGTTGGGCTGGGGATATGGCGGACGAGCGGTGATCGCATCTGTGCCATTAGCACCGGCGGCTCTTGGCTCTGTTCTGTCTTGCGCGGAGACTGATGGATTCGCATGTCATCGAATCGAGATGATGGCAAATTTCGGTCTCGTTCTAGTCCTGCCACGCTCGCCCAGTAACAGAATTCGTCGTAGTACGGTTGACGTCATCTGGCAAATGTCAGTATCCCAAAAGTTTTGCATGAGACCTGGTGTCTGGTTGAAAGACATGAAGATTCGATGAAAACTCGGCTCGTCTCGTTCTCCGCCTTGATTCTGTGCCTCTTAGAGTTTTGACGCTGGCCATGTCCCTGCTTATAGCTTTGCTTCCAGGTCTCTCAATGCGGTCGCATATCATCTTTTCTTGGGGGACGTCATTTTCGGCAGTTGAGTCATGCGGGAGAAGCTCAAGCATCCCGAGGGGTAAAGAGCGGTGGAAAGCTTCAAAAAGGAAGACACGGCAGAAGGTTGCTTGGCATGGGTCTCACGCGGCTGCAGAATATTTATGCTGCATGCATCTTTGTGTTCGGCGACCTCCCGGATGTTCAGCTGTCGTCTACGGAGTAGACATGCATGTAATGCTGCTTCTGGTTGGTCAGCCAAGTTTTGGACAAAAGGTCCTTGGAAAAAGAAAAACAAGAAACCAGTGTAACGGTACGGAGTAATGGATCCTCATAACAAATCTTCTCTGCCCGCCGTGCCTGACCTACCTTGGAACATGACGTCCAGCAGCACATGCCCCTCCCATTGTCTTTTGCGCGTTTCATCATCGCATCATGGCACCTGAAAACTATACACTGAGCGATGTGCTGGCCGTTGCCAAGTCTCATCCTTTTTATGACCAAGATGTTCAATATCCGCCCGACTCTGAGACGATCCAGAAACTCCGGGAACAGCCGAGGGAGCAGCCAGAGAGTGATAGCCTAAAATTGCAGCCTTTGCTTCGAAAAAAAGACCTGTAAGAAGTCTGACAGAAATGTACAAGCATTCCGAGTCTAACTTGGCAGCTACACGACGATTGAGCGTCTCGTGAATGACCCGAGTCCCCAAAACACGTACCGTCACAGCGTCTATGCGAGCATTACGGGAGGCGGGTTCGGATCCAAACCCTTGTTCTTTGCCACAGACGTCCATGAGAACCGTAGACATAGGGCCCAGTTTGGCGAGCTTCTCCGAGCTACCGGGGTGGTCAAGCATGGAGACTGGATCCTCACGACTCACTGCGCCGGTGAGCTTTACAGGTACTCGCGACGACCAGTCGAGCTGAGTGCGCGATATGCTGACCAGCAAACTAGATCCCTAGACCTCATGTTGGAGATTCTGGAGAATGCCGGCGCCTCCGTCCTCAGCGCCGGAAACCACATGCCCCCAGAAGAAGTGATTCATCTCCTGATCAAGTATCACATCAACGTCCTGACCGGAGACAGCAGCCAGGTAGCCCAACTTATCCACAGGATATCGGGCCTTGCGCCGGAATCTCGGGCCCTGCTGAGGCTAGACAAGATAATCTACACCTCGGAAGTACTCACCGCCGCTCAGCGGGCACACATCAAGACTGTTCTCGGCAACCACGTCAAAATCTGCTCCGTCATGGGCAGCGCCGAGGCAGGGCCCTGGGCGCTCAGCAACCCGGAGCTCACGGGACAAGAAGCGCACACAAGCCAAGCAGACTTCATCTTTGACACTCGCGCCATGCTTCTCGAGGTCCTCTCCCCTTCATCCCAGCAAGGCGAAGGCGGCTCTGATCCGGCGCCCGTGCCAGAGGGCCACGAGGGCATCGTCGTGCAAACGTCCCTGTCGCGGCTGCGCAACCCCCTCGTGCGCTACGACACGGGCGACATTGGATCTCTTCACCCGCTTCCCGCGCAGGCTCGGGGCCTGGTTCCCGAGGAGTATTGGCCGTTTTTGCGCGTCCTGCGCTTCCAGGGCCGCGACCGGCGCTTCAGCTTCGACTGGGACGGCGAGTACCTCGACTTTGTCGACCTGACGGCCCTGCTGAATGACGAGGCGTGCGGCGTCCTGCAGTGGCAGGTCATCCTGGACAAGCTGGAGCCGTCTTTGGAGTCGTCCCTTGAGATTCGGCTGCTGCGCTGCCCGCCAAACGTCGATCTCTTGCCGGAGCAGGAGCTTGCTGAGCGGATTAGGACGTTTGTGCATGCGTATTCCGCGAATGAGCACCGCTTTCGGCTTGTTTTTGTGGATGGTCTGGATGGCTTCGAGCGGAGTTCTACGGGAAGAAAGGTTATCAAGTTTATAGATCGCTATAATTAGACTTCTTTTGCGTCGTTGCTTTGACTTGCGTAGGTTTGATAGCTTGGTGGTGCCGGGGAGTGCACATGCATGAGTTTGTTGGGAATTATGTACTAGCAGGTAGTAACCCCGAAAAAATATAGTTTACATTTTCTTATTTCACTTTTTCCTTTTTAGCAGGAAATACGCAATAGGAATATAAGTAATAGGATTTAAGGTGGATAAAAGTATAAAGCCAACAACTCAAAACTCTCAAGTCAACGTATTAACTTTATCCCACAATTCTAGGTAGTTTATTGGTTCATGTTAAATGCTAATATCTTAAACTTATGCCACCACATCTAGACCAGAGAAGACCATTCCAATTGGTGACTGAGAGTCACGACCCGGTATCCTGGCTGTCATGAGCTACGAGGCAAAACGGGATCACTAGTAAAATCTGGATACGAGGCAAGCGTCGCTGTGGCTGCATCTTTCAAGTCTATGACTTCATAGCCAAACGAGTGACAATGGAAATACATGGACCATCTCATGCCGCTTTGAACAACGATAAAGGCAGCAGTCGCTTCCCAACAGGACCCTAATCAAGTATAAATATCTGCTTCATCTCACACGGCTGTCTTCTAAATTCTCTCGCAATTCATATTATTTACTCTAATCATAATTTATTACTCTATCCCGCAAATTTTAAGCTCATAAATACAAACATCATGCAGCTCACAAACTTGTTCGTTCTTGCATCCGTCGCCCTGGGCGCTATGGCTCAGTACGACGACGGCTTCTACAATGAGGCTGCCTACGAGGGTGCTTTCGACGACAGCACATATGCCACAGAAGTGGTAGGTTATCCCATCCTTGCAAAGAATGGCATTGGTCTCACACAACGCAGGCTGTCGCATATGGAGGAAATGGAGAAGAACAGGTTTTTTCACCTGAACACTGTGAAGTGCTTGATCCCCCCGTGTAAGCTCTCCAAAGTAAGCATGCCTTTTATTTTCCTTACTAACAAAGATTAATAGAGGGGGGCAAGTCAACTCAGTCAAGGTTATTCAGAAAGGTTATTGCCAGCTGTTTCTGTAGGTACACCCCTTCACACTTGCAACTTTACGGTTGGTGGTAATCTGATTCATATTGCGTAGCGATAATAACTGCAATCCCCAATGGCTCCGTGGCACGTACAAGTGGTATCCGGGCAATCCCCGTCAGCGTGTGACTGGTGAGGCCGTTTATGCTCACACAATCAAATGCCGTCCCAGTTAAACGATTGATTCGATATGCATGCCCGCAGGAAGCTAAAGGAGTGGCTAAGTCTTGCGGATGTGGGAAGAGGCGAATGGCGGATTTCCTAGGATGCCTTGGTGCAGGTTTTTATCCCTCCCCCAGGGTTAATTATAGGGTTTTCCCTGTACTGTAATGCGAATGTAGAGGCATTATTTCCCATCAATTTGACAGGATGAACTTGATGAACTGGACAAGTAAATCGGGTGTAATCATATGTGCCTCGTCGATTTGGAAGTATACCGAGGGCGTCATGTAAACACCAGACATCAGGCAGCCGCTGCAACAGCGCCGCTTCCATCTCAGCCTTTATCGGCACTGTCTGTGACGCGGCAACATTTGACATCAACATTGAACCAACATTGAATGTATTGCGCCGGCCCATCGCAAGAGGCGGGGGAGTTGCAAAGGGGCTCTGTATCTCCCTGTGGAGAGGCTACGGCAAAGAGGAGATTGTCATCCACTTCAAATCAGCACTGAGGCTGCCCCAGGCTTCACCTTCACTAATCAATTGATGCTCTCTAAGTGGCAAGTGCTCTGTGACAAGGGCCTGTGTTTAGGGGCTTAGAACAGTGTTCATATTCAGCTAATACTTTGCTTTAATTTCAAAGGTTATTAGTTTTCCTTAAAGCCTTGAGGGCGGAAGACCTTTATTTATATCAAGAAGCGGTGAGAGGCCTTGCCCCAGGTCTCCTGATCAGAGCCCTTGTGTAACTATCGTCGGGTTCAAGGCTCGGCCCGTGCCTTCATGGCAACGTGTCATCCGTGTAACATGCTCACATTCAGTCAGGGTATATTGGGCTTATCTCTGCTTATGTACCCAAGACTTTCCTATTTCCCACCGACATCACAGAGCCGACCGGCGAAGCTCGTGAACTCTGCTCCATCTCCCGACTACACACCCGCACGACTCCAAACATGGTAACAAACCAGGAACTGAATGACCGTCGAGAGCCTGGCTGCTCGGTTGTTCTTGCTGACAAGAAATATTTCCACGTGGGTAACTGGTTCATGAAGCGAACCCTTCGGGAGCACGAGTGGCAATCAGTCTTCGGTACGATTCTCATAGTTCCGCGGAGAACGTATCCCCAGCAATGGAAGAACGATGCCGCAATTTTACGGTTCCTTCGAAAAGAAACAAATATCCCGCTGCCACCGGCAGAATGCACATTTGAAGACGACGGGGCCTTTTATTTCCAGTCACAATATGTAGACGGTATCAGGATGGAGAAGCTGGCGCAACAAGACAAGGAGGTAGTGATGAAGGAGATAGAACAGCATGTAACAACGTTGCAAGCCCTTCGGTCAGATCTTCCAGGTGTCCCAGGCGAATCACTTTTATGCCCCCCTGGACGGGTCACCGGGATTTATTGGAAGGTCAACAGCTGCTGGCGACCGAGGGAGAAGGGAGAATACGTGTTTTGCCACAACAATCTCAGAGAACACAACGTGATAGTGGACCCTGAGACACTCAAGATACAAGCGATTATTAATTGGGAATTCGGCGGTTTCTGGCCCGCGTGGTTTGAGAGGCCGTTCTGGAAGCGACGTGGTCCAAGTATGGCTGTTGAAGGGGAGGAGGACAATGTGGAACGATGCCGTGACTGGCTCATGAATCACTGCGACGAAGTGGAAATTCCCCTTGGTGGTGAAGAGCCAACATCAGGTCAAGGCCGTCCATGATCGGGCACATGGGGATTGGATGACGAGTGTGTGGCAAGTGTCGCCAAGCTCAAAGTCATCATCATCACGCTCGAGAATTTAGGGGCAGAAAATTTCTGGTGCTTTTGGAGCATTCTCAACCGTCAAACTATTGCCATGTCAACCCTCCGAGATGGCCATGTAGAGTTGGTTGGCGCTCAAGTCCCTCATCAAGACCGTCCGGGTCGCAGGTCACGCACGAGTCGGCACACCAGCGCCGTCAAGTCAAGTCGCCATGGAACTATGTCATTGTGTCATGTAGCTTCAATGGCTTGGTGGTGCCGCAGGGACCAAGTTAGCCGAGCGACCACTCTCAGAAGCAATCAATATGTAAACGAGATGTTCATAGTTAAAATATATGGATAAAAGGGTGGTTGGTGCATGTTGCTCCTTGGAGAGGTAGAACTGGGTGCTAGTGAGTGCACATGCATGAGTCGTGCAGAATTATTGCGTTTTTAGAATGCAGTATACTAATGTGTGATGAATGTTGGAATACTTGGCACTTGAAGTGACTTGTATTTACATGGACTTGCCATGGTCCATGTATATCCGCGTAGTGCAGGTACTCATCGGGTTGCGTCTGCTTGTTTTTGGTGTTTCCTATTAGTTGCTTGTAAGTGGGCTTAGGGTTAGGGTTTTCTTGCAGCTCGTATTAGCTGGGACTATAGAGAAGCAATACCCTAAAGCGCCCTTCGCTAGAATTTACTATAAAAAGGCAGGCTTTTTCAGCTGTACGTGTCTAGTGTGTATTCCTTGCATGCTTGGATCAACATGCCGCCACGCTATCCGTTCTTCTACCATCTTTTACAACTATAGGGCCACTGGGCCCGGGTGGAGGGCGACACGTCATTTGCTCCAAGAATCACGGCACTTGCTCAAAGAATGGTATTTTTCAAAGACTGACTGAACTGCTTGGGACAAGGGAACCAGTCGCCAGCCATCTTGGCCCGCTCCGCAGCACCATATGAGTCGGAATGTCGCAACTGTGAACAACGACGGGGGCTCACATATGTCTCTGTGGGCCCGAGTCAGTCCCGGCGCAGATTGAACATAGGTTATAAATGCCTAACGGCAGGCCATTGGAAATATTGAAGCCGAGGAGTGGCGTGAGTGCTTTCCTACCATGTCAAAGACTGAGTCATCGAATCTTCAATAAACTCAGAACTGGCTATTACGCTTCAATTTAAGAAGCTATCTGATATCAAACCAGTTCTTGTTCACCGATTTCCAGCTATAAAAAACGGCGTCCGTAGCCGTCAATCTTGACATATCGCCATAAGCTCAAATGCAGCCGTTATGCTTCCAATATGGAATATTGGAATCCAGGTATACGGCATCCTAACTGTGTAAGCCTCTCTCAGCATTATTAGCAGCACGCTCATAAAGGGAAACCCCTCCCTGCGGCGATCAGGGGTGGATAGCAATGACAACGGACAATTTGCAGCACACATGTGGGCGCAATAAACGAAACCCTGAACCATGAGGTACCCTAATATAAAAATAGCCACCAGACTTTATGGATACCCATAAAATCTATTTGGGTTAAATTGTTATATATCTATCTATATATATAGATATATATATAGATAGTATCTATATTACCTGCCCCATCCAGAACCCAGGCTACCCACGCCGGGTACCTGTGGACTGGAGCTTTTAGACCTTAATTCTGTCACTTTCCGTGTCGCACGGTTACACAAGGGATACGGTCATGAGACCTAGGGGAAAGTCCCTCACCGACTTCTTGTATTTAAAGACCCCTTTGATCAACGAGGCCTTGAGGAAAACCAAGGACCTTTGATACCAAAGACTGATATTAGATGAATTAAGTCATGTTGCTCCAAGCCTTAAGCCCTTGTCACATGACAACTCCACCAGTCACTTGACCAGACAGTATAACGAGTCAATATGTTGTAAAGAAAACCGTCCAACAGTGCCGTTGCGTACACAGCCTTTTACCCTTTTGCCACTCGGAACATTAGGTTTCGGCACGAACTACTTTGGTGGACAGAGAAGCTCGGCACATGCCCTGAGATCCATTTATTAATAAACTATTGACTGCATATACGGCCCGTTATGTACCTTTAGGCCGCCTGAATCGATGTTGTAACTAGACTGACTCGCGCACCCCAGAGTGTTGGCTGATGACATGACCATGTTGGTGCTATATCGGGGTCTGGTTCGTAATAACCTGAGTGGAAAGTATGGAACCAGTGACTCTAAGTGACATCGCCAACCCTGAGGCGCTTTCTTGGCCTCATCTATGTACTTGCACAAAGTACAATGGGGTTTGCATGGTGACACGCGTACCCCTTTTTAAAGTCGGAGCGAGTTACTTCACTTAGTCAGTCTCTATTGCAGTCGCCAGACTTGGGTGCTGGACCGAGCCACCAAAGTTCAACAATGGGACAGTGCAGAGGAAGAATTGGACAACACTGATGGCGGATTGAGTAGAAAGGAGACACTGCCTTGGAACGCATGGGACTAAAAACAGGTGGGGGATCAATGTCCGCCATCCCAGTTCCCCAAGCCCATTGCGGACCGTAGTATACGTATACCTGAACTGATTTTGAGATGGAGAGGTGATAATTCGACGACAACTGACCTGACCCTAATACGCTGTACGCCTGCTACATGTTAATCAAATATATTGGACATGGTTGTATCATACAACGATAAAGTTGGGCTTACAATAAGCTGGCCATCTCGTCATATAAAAGGGCTCGACTAACCCGTATACTCCGTCTGGTACCAAAGACCAAATTGTCCCTCCAGCTTCATTCACTTTGACATCTTGGAGCAACAAAACCTTTGTTTTTGACACCATGGTTCGCCTGTCGGCTTCGGCCCTCGCCTGCCTTGCCGCGGCTACTGTCTCCTTTTCAAGATCTGCAGTCGTACACGCCCAAGAAGTTGCCCAGGATGTCGTTGCTGGAGCCTTCCTCCTCGAGTGCGACAGCCAGAGCCTCAAGCCTCTCATCAAGACAGTTCAGGAGCAGGGTGGAGAGATTCGTCGCGAGTTCAACTCCGAGGTCTTCTACGGCTTCTCCGCGCAGCTGTCCAACGCAAGCGTGGCCGGGGATGAGCTACAACATATGCCAGGCGTCAAGAAGGTGTGGCAAGTACAGGTGTCGAAGCATCAGGAATCGCCACCCGCAGAGTCGCAGGCCACGCCCGAGTCAGCTCACCAGCGACGTCAAGTCAAGTCGCCATGGAACCACGTCATGACACAGATAGACAAACTACACGCGGCCGGGTTTACAGGGAGCGGCATCCGGATTGCCGTTGTGGACAGTGGCGTACGTATTTGTTTACATGGACAAGACAAGGGAGCAGTTACAGTTCAACTAACATGGTCGTCAGGTTGATTATACCCACCCGGCTCTGGGAGGCTGCTTCGGCGAAGGCTGCCGAGTGGCTCTCGGTGGCAACTTCGCCAAAGACGGCAAGGATAACGACCCGATGGACTGCAATGGCCACGGTACCGCAGTAGCGGGCATCGTTGCCGGTAACGATGCGAATTACGTCGGCGTGGCCCCCAACGCCACGCTGGCGGGCTATCGGGTTCTTGACTGCTCCGCCATGTTGGAAGAAGATGACCTCATAGCCGGCTGGGTCAAGGCATATCAGGACGGCGCGCAAATCATCGTGTCGTCTGCTGGCTGGCCGGGCGCGGCCTGGGCCACGCGTCCTGCGGCGGCCGTCGTCTCGCGCATTGTCGACAGCGGCGTCCCGTGTATTGTAGGCCTCGGCAACGAAAACAATTCCGGCCTCTTTAATACCCTGAATCCCTCCAGCGGCCGGGGCGTGACGTCTGTCAACGCGTTTGCCCGCGCCCCGGGAGCCATAGACGGCCATGTCACCGACGCCCCCGTGGCCCAATCCTCAACATTCGGCCCCAACTGGGACCTTGAAATCAAGCCCACTGTCGGGGCACCGGGCGATGATGTCCCGGGAATCAAGATGGGCGGCGGGTACGAGGATATTACGGGAACGTCCTTTGCCGGCCCTCTTGTCGCCGGCATCCTGGCCCTCGTCGCCGAGGTTCGAGGCACCTTTGACCCCGTCTTGCTCAACAGCCTCCTCATGACCACGGCCGTGCCTCAGGGAAACTACTACTCGGTTGCGCAGCAAGGTGGCGGCCTGGCCAGAGCATGGGATGCCGCTCACGCCACGACACTCATTGAGCCCGGCAGTCTCTCCTTCAACGACACTCTACATCGCGCCGATTCCCTCAGCCTCCGGATTACCAACACGGCCAGAGTCAAAGTCACCTACCATCTCGATACTCTGGCGGCCAAAACTATTTACACCCTCGAAAATGGCGGTGGCATGGTGCAACACCTTGATCCTCCTGTTGACGAATCCGCCGATGTCAAGCTCAGCAGGCGCCTTCTCGTCCTGGGTCCCGGCGAATCGGCCTCGGTCGACGTCTCGGCCACAGATCCCAAGGGTCTTGACCCCGAGCGCCTGCCGGTGTGGTCTGGTTGGATTTCCATCCAAAGCTCCTCGAAATGCTCCAACAGCAGCAGTGTCTTGACGGTTCCGTACCTGGGTGTCTCGGGCTCCATGAAGGAGCACCAAGTTCTCCGACCAGACGGAGTCGTGCTTTCAACTCTGTTTGACAATGGGCGGGACCATGTGCACCCAAATGGGCATCAGGTCGACTATGAAACGAAAGACGACAGCTCCGTGAGCATCGACTTGCCCGTACGCATCAAGCCCATCCTTGGAACTCGTCTTGTGCGCGCCGAGGTCGTGCCACTGTCGCCACGCAAGTGGTTGGCCGCCCGCCTGGCGGACAAGAACCTCAAGCTCGACGCCTTTTCCCTCGAGGCGCTGACTCACGCCTATCCAACTCGCAAGACTTGGAGCGGGCGGCTAGAATCGGGCGACTATATCCCCGCGGGCAAGTACAATCTCGTCGTACGCGCCCTCAGGCTCTTTGGCGATGCCGCCGTTGCATCCGACTGGGACCTGTCGGAAAATGTTAGTTTTGAAATTATCAAGCCCGCCGGCAGGAAAGCCTGCGAAAGGTATGAATCCAGCAAGGGCGCTGTTCCCGCGGATGCCTTGTTTACCAGTCTCGAGGAGTGCCTCCAGGTTCACGGTGACAAGGTGGTGGACGCGCCTTGGGTTCCTGCGCCGCAGGATGAGGCTTTGAGGGACAGATGCGCCAACGGCGAGCTCACGGACGAGCTTTGCGGCACGTACGAGTTGTGCCGGAAGCACAGTGACATCGAGCTCTTGTCTGACGTCAAGTCCCCATTCACGTCGCTTGCCAGCTGTATCGAGAGCCACAAGACGTTTCCGTTTAAGCCTTTTGACTATTCGAGGTTACAAGAGTGCATGGCCAACCAGGATGATGAAAGTATCTGTGGCACTGACCTTTGGTGCAACTTGCAATATGAGTCGCCGCAGCCGACGGATGAATATGGCAGTAGCGAGGAGTGTCGTTGGGCCCATGGGAGCTACAGGTAAATATAGGTCTTGGACAGATGTGTGAATGTTGCTTCAAGTTCAATGTGCACAGCTCCTATTGATATTCGCGGCTGCGTTGTACTCGGAAATGCAAGACTGTTATAACTTGTTGGATGAATTGAGTCATGTTGCTCCAAGCCTTTAGCCCTTGTCATAAAGCCACAGACTTGAGACTATCGCGTATTGTAATTCAACTTGCGCAGTTTGTTGTTTATAGAGTAGGTGTATCTGTTGAGAAAGCAAGGGCTATAACCTTGGATATACTAGCAGGAGGTATTGTGCGGATGCGATGACAGGATTATTGGATTCAGAGACCTAGTAGGTAGGTATATGTAGTTATTGGGTTGCGTTATTTTTGGTGTTTCCTGTTAGTTGCTTGCAAGTAAGTTTAGGGTTAGAGTTTTTCTACAGCTAGTTTTATCAGCCAGGCCTGCAAAGAAGCAATACCCCAAAGCGCCCTTGACCAGAATCAACTATAAAAAAGCAGGATTCAAGTAGCCATGTAATACATGTGATTTATAATAGCTATTGTGGCCATAAAGCTCTACATTAAGGGGCCAAATCCGGCCTATTAGCCAAGTCCGAGAGTCCGAGCAGCTTCTACGTATGCCCCGGTTGATGAACTCCAGGACATGACAACACTAGATGAAACCCTTGGCATGGTAGAAAATGCTACTATTACATCTCAAGGAAGCCTAATAATCAAGCCCCTGTCTTTTTGCAAGGTATACATAGACTCCTTGTCGCCGTTCGTGTTTGGCAAAGGCACATGGATAAAATTGGGCGTCGCATGAATTTCGCGCAGATACGAGATACGAGGCTTGCCCTGGAGAAGCTATTACTGTGGAGTGAGGCAAAAAAAAGTTTCCTATAGCCAGGGTACTGTTTGAGTGCGCATAAAGCCTAGATTCCTCATTTGACAAGCCCGCTTGGACTTTGTCGGGAGACGGGGCGTCGACACGACATGGTTCTCTACCAATGTGGCAATCAAAAACGCTTCTGGCGGAGCCGTTCTGTGTAATCTAATGTCAACGGGAAAATACAGGACATCTACCAAGAGGTATACAAGGTCAACTATAACAGGCACTTGTGGGATTCCCTTTTGCTTGGTGTGGTCAATCCGTGATACCTAAGGTAACGGTTCAAGCCGAGTATATTGAAAAATAGCTACACTATTCATATCGGAAAGGTATAGAGAAGAAGACAAAGTTCAAGGAGCTCTCGGGCTCCTGATCGGGACGCGGCTCATCTCGCCTGCCGGGCCAGCGCGTTTAGTAAACGTCGCCATTCCTGGCCTTTTGTTCGTCCTTGAGTTGCCAATAAATCATGTTGCTCTTCTCACGACAATAATCCGACATTGCATTTGCTGATGTGTAATCCTCCGGATAGCGAAAGGCGGTGTTGTTTATGATCTGGACCTATAATTGCTGTGTAAGCACCTCGACGAATAGTTGGCGTGCTTTTTGTCTGTCAAGAGTTACCAATTGAAAGCACATTCTAAGCGCAAATTCCTTATTAATGTTCATAATCTCCCTCATAGTAGCCTGGTTGACTTCTGGAGTTGGTGCAGCCGGCACGGCAGATGCTTCTGCAGGATCTTGAGGTACCCTGGCCTCCATTCTCCCAGCAGAAACAAGACTGCTGAGAGCGGCGATGATGGTGATGTACTTCATGGTGGCGGATAGGCGTTGAAGAGACGTTGCGACTGAAGACGGGGTAAAGGATTGTGATTGGGTTGTAATCTAAAAGGTGAAGCAGCACTGAAGGAGGGCCTTTCTAGCTTTATATCAATTTCGCGGCTAGCCGACCAAAATTCCAAAATACAACTGTCGGGGATATATTTACCACCAAGCTATCCTTGGACAGTGGCCAACCTGTGCCGGGATAGTAGTTTTTTGAAAAATGCTCGTAAAGTTGACAAATGCTCCGAGACGATGGCTTGGCATTTATGCGACCCTGAGGGCTGGATTGCATTGACCTAGGCCGGGGATGTCCGTAAGCTGTTGTTCTCGATGCAGCCTCAGAATGACAGAAACTAGGGAGCTTCAAAGTGTGTTCGGACGCCCTGCGGGCGGATCGGAAATGTCAACGACAGACTCATCGGGTGACTGGACATGCGGAGGCGTTGCGGCCCCATAGAAATAAATGACGAACTCGTAGTAATCTATCTTGATCAGGTTTCTTGATACTACCAGCTCTAGATATACACATGTACCATGGGCACTGGTTGGTTCCTGTGGCCGTATCATGACAACTCTACACGGCACTTCACCAGACAGCATAACCTGTCAATGCAGCATAATCCGTGTACTGCAATTATCCGTCCAGCAGTCCATGTCATTACATTGAGTCAATCTACAACACCGCCTTTTATCGCTCGGAAAATTAGGTCCCGGCACGAACTGGAGTCGCCTGACTCGGGTGCTGGACCCAATAGGACAGCGTAGGGGATACCTGAACTGATTTTCATGTCCATCATGTCAAGTATTGAGTAGAGTTTATGCGCATAAATGTATTAGACATGGTTATATCATATACCGATCAAGTTGAACTTACAACCATCTGCCCATCCCCCTCGTAAAAGGGCTCAATGAACTCGTATACGAAATTATCGCTCCAGTTTCATTTACTTTGACATCCCCGTGTAATAAAACCTTTATGGCGGATGCCTTTGTTCAGGCCCCTTTTCCGATGACACCAGTGTCACGCCACCAGCCAAAACATATCAGTCTAATGCAAAAATAAGCAGGCCGCGGCCTCTTCGCCTGCGTACACCATCCCCTCGTATGACTTTCACCCGGCTCTACTTCATCTTGCATAGCTTGCCATCCTCACCCTCCTGCCACCGCTCGTTACCAACACACGGCAGACACCAAAACACATCAGTCGGGTCAACGTTGCGCTTGAGCTCAAGTAAACGCTCATAGTTACTTCCCCAAAATGTCTGCTGAAAGTTCTTCTCAAATGGAAGCGCCTACAACACAGTTAGCATGCAGCGGGATGCTCGCAAGGCAGCCATGTTGACGGTACCTCGTTGATGTAGGAGCCAGACTCGGGCGTCAGGTCTCGGAGCGGTTGGAACGCCCTTTGCAGAGTCTCAATCGCGTCAAGGCGTGCGGTAGTATTGAAATGCGGGAATCCAGCGGCGGTTACTACAATACGTTGTTGGCGTGCATGTTCTTCCCATGACTACATCATCGCAACTTACTGGCATGGACATAGGCTTTTCGCCACGCGGGATGGACGGCATTGCCTCCTCCTCTTGGCTTAGCATCATTGACACCCTTTCCTCCTACCATGAATACCGCGTATGAATTTGTGTACGGAATCGGTGCCATGAGCGCCTTGGTCAGCTCGGGAGAAGTGGTGGTCAGTGTCTTCTTGTCCAACAGCCGCGAGACAATATAGCTACTATTTCCGGCGGTCTGCTGGTCATAGTAGTCGTCAAACCAGGCCAAAAATGACTTGTATGGGACTACCGAGTTGTAGAGGCCAACCTCGCCGGGCCACTTATTTTTCAGCGTCTCATTCAGTGGCTTGAGAATCTGGTCGACGGCGTCCTCGCTGTCGGCATCTTGGAGAATGGCATGGCCGAACATGCCGTTGATGATATCTGGTAGGCCGGGAATCGGCACAGGCTTGGGCACTTGGTATCCCACAAAGCTGTAGCCTGATAGACCGGCGTCCATCAAGCTAGGCACTTGAGATACCAAGTAAGTGATGATGTTGCTGAAGTTGGTCGAGTTGGGCTGGATGAGCGCCATCCAATTAATCGCAAAGATCTTTGGGGTAGGATGTGTCTTGAGAGTAATAGAGGTAATGACGCCAAATGTTGAGCCTCCGCCCTGAGTTCAGTCATTAGCATCAAGGGAGCAATGGTTACATGTATAGTACTTACGCCGCGCAGAGCCCAGAAGAGGTCAGCATGTCGATCTTCATTGACAGTCAAGATTTCTCCTCTTGGTGTCACCACCTGCATCTCGAGGACTTGGTCTGCTGCAAGTCCAAATCGAGGAGCAAGGATGGAGTGACCACCGCCCGAGATGTAGCCACTGATACCGACGGTTTTGCCACCGCCTCCGACGATGGTGTGGTTATGTTTGTCGGTTGCCGAGTAAATGTCGTACATTTCGGTGCCGCTCCCAACAGTGACGGCGTCGCCGGTAATCGCTTTTCCTGAGCCATTGATCCTGAACTGTCCCGTGTGATACTCGATGTTATTCAGGTAATGGGTCCAGATTGACAAGGCTCCAGGAGCAATGGATCGTCCTAGATAGTCGTGGCCGGTGCTCTTGACGACAAGTCTGACGTTGTGTCTGCGAGCTACAATACTGTCAGCTTCCCTGGCACGGCATTAGGGAGCCAAAATATGCACATACCAAAGTCCACCCCAGCCTTGACATGCTCGGGGGTGCTCGCGTTGACTACATAGGCCGGGTAGCCTTGCGGACTGCAAGGGGCCCTTGGATCCGGAAGACATGTATCATTGGCATATTGATCCCACATGACGGAAACGGGGCTCTTGGTGTGCCAATCGTATGTACTCCATCCTTTGACCACTTCGGCGCATTGCGTTTCGTTGTAGGTTGCCTGTCCCGGATGGCAAACTGCCCCGGGCGGACTTGGGCTTATAAGCCGACCGCCCAGGCTTTTATTCAAGCTTGCCCATTCTTGGGAAGACGGCCAGTTAGGAGTCCCTGGATATGCTTTGCATTTGTTGGATTCTGGCCCTGTTGCTGATGTTAGGCCAAGTAGGCCGGGAAGTGATAGGAGAAGTTGGCCCGGAACGCGCATGATGATTAGTCTAGTGTACGCTCTTGTTGATGCCTGTATGACTATCACAGCTACATAAGTAAAGTGACTCCTAGAGCCACATATATATGGACGAAGCGCACCTCAACCATGTAAGCCCGGTATGCTTACCACCGTTACACCTGTCGTGCGTCACATGGCGGCGCGGACGCCGGGAACAAGGCGCACGTACGTCACGGAGACTGGGTGCAACCGTACATGTAAGAATCCGATCCAAGCGAAGGCAGCAATCAGTGCCGTCACTTCTCCAACAGACGCTGCCAAATGAACGTTGAGGGAGAAGGTGGCTGTGTGTCGATCTGCCCAGTCAGCATGTTCTGGCGAGTGCGTACTCCGTATTCCTCGCTTACATCGGCAATCCGGGGGTTCCGAGAAGCTTCGGATTCGTTGCCTGTCCAAATTTATGGAGAAGTGTGGCCGAGTTATATCATCTTACACCCGGTGGCGTTGTCGGCCCGCTTCTTTATTTCAGCTCGGGTCATGATTCCGAGTTAGGGTTCAATGTTGGGCATACCTGAACCTGGATTTATGGCGCGAGCTGAAATGTAAGAAATCAAGACTTGTAAACGTTCAGGGCCGTAGCTATCCGTTATGTCTGCGCATAGCAGTGTTACCAACCTGGTACGACTTGTTGAGAAACGGAGGGTTTACTTCGTAACGCTTTCTCAATATTTGCCAGCCAAGGAGGCGACAATACGTAGAAAAAATACATGTACTTCACAAACTCGAGAACAGTCACATGGAGGCAGTTCAACAGTTCCAGTCTGCATGAACAGTACGAGCAGCAACTGTACATCAACGGTAGTAGCAACATTTGAAATTACTCGAACCCAGCGGACAGTCCTCCTTCCAAATGGTATCCTTTGAACTTTCTCGCAGGAACGCCCTTGTCAAAGAGCAAATCCAACTCTTGGTAGCTGCGGCCCATGGTCTCCGGAACACGGTAGTAGGCCCATATGAGACACAGCCCAGCCAGGCCCCCAAAGAAAAAGCCCAGTTTTCCCTGCCAGTTGGCCTCGCCGGGATTGATCATGTAAGGGATCGCAGCGGTCATGACGATACCCAAAAGCCCTTGAGCAGCGGTCGCAGTGGCGATGGTCTTGGAGCGAACGCGAGTGGCAGAACACTCGGCGAGGAGAACGAAGCAGATGGGGCCGATGGAAACGTCGTAGAAGAAGTTCCAAACCAGCATAAGGGCCGATTCCGTCCAGATGGCACCCGACGGCCGACCGGGAACGCAGTCGAGGATACCGATGACGAACTGGAGGACGACGAGCACAGCGAGACCGTAGTTGTACAAGACTCGTCTGCCGAATCTGACCATGAGGAACCAGGAGACAATAGTGCCAGCGAGGCCAAGAGCTGCCAACAGTCAGTGCGGAACCTTGCGTTTGACACAATCAGACGACGTCTTTACGTACCCATGAATCCAACAGACATGTTGAAGGCCTGCCCGGTCGGGAGACCTGCCTGCTGGAAGAAGTAGGTGCCATAGTTGACAAGGTAGATGCCGCTCAAAGCCTGCGTGCAGTAGACGCCGATGGAAATCTCGGTCCTTCGCCAATTCACCTTTGTAAAGCAGTCCACGTACGTGCTGCCGGCCTCAATCTCCTGCTCCAGCCGATCCGTCTCCACGATAAAGGCCAACGTAGCCGCAACGTTGACGCCGGGCGACGCAAGCCTCCGGAGCGACTTGTCCGCATCCTCGGTGCGATTCTTGCGCACCAGCCACCACGGGCTCTCTGGGACAAACGGCATGCCGGGGACAATAGCCACGACCCAGAACCACTGCAGGGCAAAGGGGAGAGAATACGCCCCGTGGCTGTCCATCCTTTGCGTGCCGGCGGTGACGCCGTTGCTGAGGAGCTGCCCGATGACGAAGCACAGGTTCACAAAGGAGGTGAGATGGCCGCGGATGGCGGTAGGGCAGACCTCGGAGGCGTAGGCCGGCGCGATGACGACAAACATGCCCAGGACGAGGCCGGCGAGCAGTTCGCCCGCGAGGAGGACGGGCAGCGAGCGGGCAAAGAACTGGATGAAGACGAGGCCGGCGACGAGAATGACGCAGACGCCAAAGGTGCGCTTGCGGCCAAACACGTCCATTGGGTAGGCTGCGCATAATGCACCGACGACTTGTCCTATGGGGTTGCCCATGGAGAGGGCGGTTTGCCACGCCGCGCTGATGATGTACTACGCGATGGGGAGTTAGCTGAAGCTCGCTGAATGCTGAGTAGAGTCGCAAGACTTGGTGGGTGTAGGGGGTTGACTTGTTGTTGTTCAGGTTCCGAGACGCTCGACTTACCCCCTCGCCGCTGGGATATCCGAAATCCTTTTGGAACTGTGGCATGGCGTACAAGTTGCCGATGAGCTGCGGATCAAAGGCCAGCATGATGACACCCAGGGATACATAGGCGGACCACCCAACGGCCTTTGGGTACAGCTTCAACGCCTCGAGGAAGCCCATCTGATGCTCAGCGCGGATAGCCTCGAGGAGCTCGGGGTCGGCAGGGGCCGACTTGCGCGGCAATGCCACCGAGTCATGGTGCGCGAGGCCCTCATCCGGATTTTTATCGACGTCGGCCATGGGGGGTGTTTTCTGCTCGGTGCTCTGCTCCGACTTGGCCATCAACAGCCGGTTCAACCTGGCTGCTTATGACGCCTCGACGAAGCAGGGCCAAGCTTGGAGCGGCCAAGAAGCTGGAGGTGCGCGATGCGTCGACATGTATAGTCTTTCGGACCGCCTCTACACGGCCCAAGTATGGATGGGCCGTTGGGGTCCGGGGACCGAGGGTGATGGCATTGCCACGTTACTTCTCGCTGTTAAGATTCCGAGGTTCAGACGCACTGCAGCCATGACATGCAGGAGTTTAGCTTCCCAAGTCTGCGTCATTTTCCCGTCCATGAATAGACCCTTGTTTCCGCCGTCTTGTGCTCTCGATATCGTAGCCCCCCACATTGGGCAAAACAACCGGCACGCGAGGCCATCTAGCCCCGGGCTATGGCCATCTTTGGCCGATGGACTTCTTCAAGCGCTCCGAGATTAGCTGACGGATTACGGGGGGACCCAAGAGCCAGATGCTGCCAGACGGTCGGGACGCCAGTCCGGGGTTGGAGATGAACTGCATGGTTACGTTGCATCGCTCACGCCTGGGTACAACAACCGGTCACCGACGGCTCAAGTCAGACGCCAATCTAGGACTGAAGAATGGGCTCCGAATCCCGTCATGGACGATTTTTGGGCTCCCGATGGCGTCGCTTCAACCTGTTAGCGCTTAAGTCGGACGTGTGGTGTACATCTGCAACCGATGGCAGAATATATTTGCCTACCAACCGGTGTACACGAGTATATTACGGTATCCTATATTATAAAGCGCGATACCCAGGCACTTCTTGTCGTGAAATACGTTTTGGCTCCTGCTGTGAGCCCTCCCATACCCCTCAGATGTCTGCACAAGACACTCATACACTTGCGTTTTGGGTCCTGCGAGACCAGTTGACATCCTGGAAGAGTGAGTAAACTTCCCCCTCTCAAAAAGGACATGAGTGATGGTTGAGCTGTGCCCCAAGTCCTTTCGTCATCGACCTAAACACTATTCGGGCGCTTACCAGCTAGAGAGGCGGTCCCTGGACGGATCCCGTCAACCCGGTATAATGGTAGCCTTATTCTAAAGCTAAATCTAGTTGAATAGAGTTGTGGCACACCATAGCCTCAAACTACGTAAATAGTGGTGTCTACCAAACACAACTTTAAATGCTAATCACCTTACTTTGTATATAAACGACTCCGATTCTCACACTAGCAAACTTGAAAACTTGTCGTGTGTCAAGCACGCCAGACTCCTCGTTCTCCGTCCCGTTTGGACAGTGATAGCACGACTTGGCGACTACAAAAGACTGCAGAATGCGCCCGGTCAAATACCACGTCCATGATTCCGGGGTTGAGGCGCACTGCAGATGGCATGCAGAGTTTAGCTTCCAAAGTCTCCATCATTTTCCCGCCCATCAGACCCTTGTTATCAGGCAAACAATGGGCACGCACGTGAGTCCAACGCACGGGCGACCCGTAACACGTAAATGTACAACCGCAAAGCTTGTCGGGACTCGGGATACCACCACCCTGCCGCCACGGCATGCTGGTCACGACTGCAATATCATGCTGAGAAGCATGACTACCATCATAAACGATGTCTGCGCGATTTCACAGCTAAAACAGACCCAGCCCCATCTGGGATCAAGAAGCGGCGTCGCTCCTTCAACGACCTTTGGCCGGCGTAGGCCACAGCGCTTGAGAATGACGAGGAACAGCTGGACCACGGCGCCATGCTTATTAGTACAGTTCCTTTGACCATGTTCACTATTTTGCGCGAGGGAGATGAACGCACCGTTTCTGCCACGTCTTCCAGGGCAGCGGCGACGTAAAACAGCAAGGCGAAACTGCCGGCGGGCCCCTGGTTGTGAGGCAAATAGTAACCGACGATGGAAAGGCAGGTAGCCTTTGCACCATATGACCTGATTAAGAAGAGGTCCAAAATAGATGTAACAAACATCAATGTTAGCATATAAGACAGCCAGACCGAGTAAAACTCCACGATGCCGCGCCGACGTGATCCCAAATTGCGGCATACAGCTTCCATGAAGATGCTCACGCTGCAAGGCTCGATGTCTTGCCTCTGAGATACGTGTAGGTTAGAACGACTCTGTGCCATGTATATTGTCGGGGACCCTGCTTCACTTACGTCCTGTCTGACTGATTCCAAGGTGCCCGCGACCTCGAATGCCAGGCAGCAGTGGACAAAATTATTGGGCTGAATCACCCCCACGGACGGAATGTAGAAATATCTGGAAACGGATCCCAAGGAAACCAGTAGGGCACCGGAGGCGATGTAATAAAGGCGTGGCCATGGTTGGGGAAACGGCCCTTGCACGACGAGTGTGACGAAAAAGACCAGAAGAGGGACGAGGAGCGCTTGAAAAAGAAGCTCGGGGACCCCCAGTGTCAGTGTTAAAGCCCGATAAATGATGTTTACTGCGCAGGCAACGGCCCAGTAGGCGATGTGGTATTTTACAGAGCGCATTCTGTAGTCTCTCGTAAGCGTCGAGTAGTGCTATTTCCGCTCAAACGGAGCTCTTGCTGCGTTCCTGCTGGGGAAAAGAGAAGACGCGAGAAAAAGTTTGCTCGATAGTGCGGGAGTCGGAGGGGTTTAAATACCAAAACAGATTTGAGTGGCAGGTCAGTCTCGAGAGCGTACTGACATTTAAAGTTGCACTTGGCAGACGCTACTATCCACACAGTTTGAGGCTGATGTGTTGATGACATGGAGCTTGACAGAAGGCAGACTCGTTTGAGGCGAGTTTGATTTTATCTGCATGTCCGCTGGGGGACAAGAGTTGCGCTTACCATTCGTGCAAGGTCAGAGAATGTCTGGTGTCTGGTCGGTTGACCTCTTTCCCTGTGTGTTCTTTGAAGCACTGCGGTGCTGCACCTCCAGCCAAATATAACCGAGTGTAAAGAAGGAAAGCGCGGCCTTTGCGATGTTTGGGATATCAAACCAATGCCCTCGTTTGTCATTTTTCTTCTTCTTTTTTCCTCTTCTCTCTTTAATCGACCTACAACGTCAAAATGCCTGTTCTTCGCTATTTTTTTCACCCCGGGACCTGTCGTGCCGTACTTCAGGCCTCATCGGCGCTGTACTGGAAATCCATCACGGATCAGTACCCGCTGGCTGCACCAGTGGCTGGCATTATATGCCTAGCGTCCATCGAGGCGGGATATCTGTACTGGATGGATAACCGGGACAATGCTGGTGCCAAGGACGAGCCTCGTCTCCTTGAGCAGCTTCGCCGGCTCGAAAGCGGCGTGTAAGTCTGCTGCCAGATAAGGTCCAGGTCCTTTTGGCTGGGGTAACGCCAGGTACCAGGCGCCTTTGACAAGGAGTTGGGTAGCGTTTGACAAGCTGAGAGTCGGCCAGGTCTCGGAGGGTCGACTGACAACCCTGGTACCTTCGGGTCCAGCCGGGGAACCCCCTTACCGGTTCATGTTTTGCCCTCCCTTTCCTGGGAAGATTGAAGCTGCTGTGACGGCCTTTTCCATATCGTTTGTATCTGTCCCAAGGCACATGTTCCTTTCATCGCATGCTAACGTCAGGGTGAACGTAGGAACTGCCATGTGGACTCGGCACAAACACATCACGCACAACACACAACATACACACCACTATAGCACCTTCAGGTCCAGCTGGGGAACCCCCTTACCGGTTCATTTCCTCCCCCACCAAAGCTCTGATGATATTAGTTTGGCTAGCGAGCCGCGGCGCGGCGCCAATTGCGCTGGTACGTCTGACGCGTCACGATGCGTAGACAGTCTAGTTACTACGTACTTGTCTGGTCTCTTACGGTTCTTGGCCCGGTACAGCCCAATACTGTGTTATTAGATTTTACGCTTGCACGATACTGCACGTAACGCCACATCAACTACGGAGCGAAACAATTGAAAATTAAACATTTTGTATGTATCCCAAGGCACGTCTTCTTTTTCATCTGGCTGGATACTGACGTCAAGATGAACGTAGTGCCTGTCAAGTGTACTTCGCAAAGGCACCGGACCGCTAGCCACGGCCTACAAACCGTCGTACGAACTTGCACACCTTACAACGTGGGAGAAGACGCCACATTCAAGGGCCGCACAATGGTGTCAACTGGGTCGGTCGGTGGAAGCACAAGCCATGGGCGGGATGGCGGCGCCAACTTCAAAATGGTACACCCACATTCCAAACATCCTGATTTGGGGTGATTCCTTGTCATGACTTGGATCAGCGCTAACGAATGCAGTCATCATCACCGACCTTGCCGCTCCCCAAGGTGGATCGCGATTCACCCACCACTCGTCTAACCCAGAGTCAATCAGCCAATGCCAACAGCGTCCAGCCGCATGGCTTCAATTCAGTAAACCGCTTCTTCCTAGTGAGAATTGGGAGGCAACTCGCTTCAATGTTCTCTTGCACGGCACCGTTGAACAACTTTGAGCCTGAAACCGTCAACAAGGGGATAAGAATTTGCGTTTGAGCACCTGGGTTGTGCAATCTAATGGAACTACACTGTAACAAATGACAACATTGAAACATGTCAGCCGAATCTACAAGAAAGGATAGGGGTTATGATGAGTAGCTATGGAATTGGATAGGAGGATTGGCTTTTGCCTCGCATCTGTAGCTAGCTAGCTTGTTGGATTGAATCCGTTGAAGCCTTACTCGCTCGAATGACCCCTTTCGTCTCCCCCCCCCCCCCCCCCGGACGCACACATGGACCCCATCATGACACGCACAATTTAAGAGAAAAGCCGGCATCGGCTGATAAAACTCAGCAAACAAATCCCTGTCAGGTCCGGTAAGCCAAGGCAAACCCGGCCAAATTGCCCGTCGTACCCTAACCCTCGCAGAGCGTTGCTCAGTACGGGGGAACCGAAAGTGCCATCAAGATTCTCATCCAAGCAACTGGCCCATTGTAGCCCAACAGCTCTAGCTCCTCTTCCATCCGACCGACTTGGTCCTCCACCCAGCTACATGCCTTGTCCACCATCAACTCCCACGATTCCTTGTCAGCAGCCATCTTCTTCTGGAGGTGGGCGATGGCGCATAGCGTGGCCAGAACATCCTCCACGTCCGCCGGTATGGGGAATTGGATGGCGCTCACAGCTTCGGCCTTGGTGATGCCAAGTACATTCTCGAGCTGTAGGCTCCATTCCCAGCTGCCGACATATGTTTGGAGATTTGCCAAGAGGGACAAGGCGTCAGGCTCGGCCTGGGCAACTCCAACATTATCCTCCTCCTCCTCCTCCTCTTCTGCATCTTCCTCTTCTTCTTCTTCCTCGTCGTCGTCATACTCTACAGGCCCTGTCGCTATTCTGTATGCCTTTGTCGCCATTGGACGGCCACGCCCAACCGGGCTCTTATACGAAACGCCATCGTCGTCGCTGAGCTCGTCCGCCTCGTCGAGTGACGCACAAGAATCATCACCAGCCTCGTCCGCCTCGTCGAGTGCCACGGGAGAATCGTCACCAGTCTCCTGTTCCTCGTTGGCATCTGACGATGTGGCCACGAATGAGCACCACTTTCCGGCAATCTGGTGCTCTACGCCCAGCCTAACAGCCTCTCTCTTGACGACCTGAGGGAACTTGCTGGGCCATTTCTCCCGAAGCGGCTGGCCCTGGGCATCCTTGGCGTGACGGAGCCAACCTTGGCCTTGTTCAAGCTCTTGGACTGCCTTTCTGGCCGCCAGCTGGTGCAGCGTCGTGGAAGTTTGGCCGAGCTTCGTGATTGGGATTTCGAGCTGGAGCGGTCCGTGGCGAGACGTACCCCTTACCACGACGGATTTTGGCTCTCGCGCAGGCGTTTCGTCAGACAGCATGATGTACACTGTCGTGCGGTTGAATGGGAAGAGCGCCGGGATGGGCGATGGCGTCTGCAGGTATTTTGGAGCGTCGACCGGCGGCAGGTTCGTCTCGAGTGCGTCGAGTTCTTCAGAGGCGTCCTTGGTCTCGAGATCTTCATTCTTGACACTGGGGTCAAAGAGCGAAGTTGGAGGCTTGGCTTCCTTAGACCCGGGCTCTTCGGCTTCTTCCTCGGCATCATCAATTGTCAACGAATCGACAACCTTTTCAACCAGTTCAAACTCATCTGCTTCGGTGTCACTGTCGGGGGCAGTGTCTTGCTCGGACTTGTCGTACTTGATTTCCAGGGTGTAGTCCGAAACATGCGGCGTGAGTGCTCCCTTGAGCATTCGAACAATCTTCTTGTCAATCTTCTCGTCTTCTCCGGCAACTTGGGCGAAGCCATTGCCAGCCCTCGCAGCGCCGTTGATCAGCGAATGGCTCACGCCCCAGCCGATGCCAAGGGTAAACACACGAATGGCTCCCTTGCTTGCAGCCACTTCGTGGTTGATGAGGTGGAACAGTCTGTCCTGGTCCCATATCTCTCCGTCCGTTAAGAGGAATACTTCAAGGTTGGATTCTTGAATTCTCTTCTTAAATGTTTTCCGCACAGGCGCAAGCATCTCGGTGCCGCCGTAATCGGCTTTGAAGGTCGCAACATGGCGGACAGCCTCGTTCAGAGTATCCTGGGTGTACTCGACGGATTTCGGCCAGAGAAAAGTGCACTCCCACCCGAAGCTGCAAATATTGAACCGAACCCCGACTGGCAGGGACTTGAGAAAGATGTTGAGTGCCGAGATGAGATTAGGCATCGTTTTGCCTCCAGCCATGCTGCCACTGCGGTCACATATGAAGACTATTTCTGGCTTTTCCACAGGTAGGTTGAATCTGGGGACGAGGGAGGCCATGATGGTACGGTGGTGAGCCTTGGTAGGATGGATTTCGAGCAGAGCGGCCGGCGCGCCGAGTCCCGTCGCCACGACCTGGAGGGTAAAGTCCTTTTCGAGCTCTGCGGAACCGAGGGACAGCGATGCAGACGCCATCTGAGGCGACGGATGTTGCGACACACTCGCGCTCATGGTGCCGATACTGACAGAGATGGGATGCGAAGGCGACTGGACCGACTTGACAATACACCCCGGTCCCAGATCAATGTCGACCGTGACGGCGATTTTCCCCTGGACTCTGACCTCGGGCGCCGAAACAAGGTCTCGATATGCGTGATACCCGTACCGCGGCGCAACAGCCGTTGGGATGGTAAACCGCAGCCCGTCAATCTCAGCGTCATGCTCCAGTTCCCCGAGATACGTCACGTCCACCTTGACATCTTCACCGGCAGGCACATTGCCCAACTTTGCGATGAAGACATCCGACGCCGAGAGACTCTGTTCCAGCAAGCCTGCGGCTTCGCCCCGTGCCGTGGCCCTGTCAAAGATGCGTTTTGCTTCTTGGCGTTCGCGGACGACGCCCCTGATGACTCTTGGCCCGATGGTGCACGTGAACTCGACGACCGACACGCCATCGTACATTGGAAACATGTACCGTGCTTCTTTGACTATAGAGCCTGTGTTGTTGACATAGGTCTGGGTGAGACGTGTGCGAGACGTGGTGGAAAGAATGGTTGTGTGGGCAGATGTAGCCGCGAGAGCGAGGTAGCGCTGCGTCTTGTCGGCAACGACGACGCAGCCACACAGCATGGATTGGTCTGACATGATCAGGTTGATAAAGCGGCGTGGGTATTTAGACCTATTGGCGGGTGTAGATGTATCTTAGCAAAGCGTGGGCGCCTCGGCAACAAATCTGCAGGACGACGAGTGCAGGAACTCACACGACAACGAGAGCGACGAACAGCTCTTATATATGTATAGCAGACGAGTCTGACGAGATCCACGCGGTCAGCTTTATGATTTGACTATTTGCACCGATGTCAGCAAGATGGCGGTGCTTCGGGGAGCTTTGCACTGAGGACTTGCGAGTAGTTGGTAGTTGTAATAGGGCTCTTGATGTTGGAAGAGATGAAGAGATGAAGGGACTCGTAGAGGGTAGACCGCTTTAATATATGTTGTGTGGTTATTTTAAGTTTATGCAGTGAGTCACTAACATGAGCTATATATTTCTTTCACGTAATCAGTGGTTGAAGATATCACGAGATATCCCTAGACGGCGTGCCGTGATGAATCACTAATCCTGTTAGTATCGGACGTATCATGGACCGTTTGTATTGTTGCCTGATGTAGTGCTTGCACGATGCTTTCAGGACCGCTTACATGGGGTGAAAAGGTTAAATTAGGTAAAAAACTAAGAAGGAAGAAAAAGTATAGCAGCCACCAAGTGAGGGCTGGCGAACCACTGGCTTTTGGTTGCCGAACAAGTCCATTCTCAGCTAATAGTTGTAGCATTGTTCGAGGCGCACTCGATGGAGAAGCGTGAAAGATGATTGGTCGATCTTGAGCCGTCCACGACAAGTCGCCACATGTGTGCACTTTTTATCAGTCTGTTGCCTGCTGTTGCCTAGAGTAATGACGGCTACAAAGCGGGCAGAGATGCGGGATGGCGAGAACCATGGATCAACATGAAGTGAAGAATAGTGTGTTTGGCGTCTCACAGGAGGTTGCGTGGATATAGAGGCTAGACAACGTACTCAAAAGGAGAATACATTACCAATACAAATCACACATCTGTATATTGACGGTTTGCCAAAACAAGAGGCAACGAATGCAGACATGTCCCGTTGTCGTGGACATTACATCTTCATATATGCCCATCCTCGAGGCCGAGCTCAGATGCTCCAGGACTGGTTCATACTTGATGCAGATGTAATACAAAAATGCAAGTCTTCACAATTACATGATGCGATTCATTCCTCCGGTTCAACAGAAGACGTCTTACGGTATATCGTCGGACGCCGAGGCCCCATCGTCTCCGGTCCAACTCGTCCCATCTCCCTTACACAGCTGCAATTATACCTTGTGTATACGCCGAAACGTGTATACCCCAGCAGAATATTCCTACCTCACCCCTCCTTCCCTGACTCGTCCACATACACCTCACTTGGGAGCCCATCCAAGACGCGTGTTCTCAGCATCAAACACCACCAGGCCGGCTGCAACGTCTTCAACAATGCCAACTCCGATTTCCCCGCTTCTCTGACACAGTCACGGGGGCATGGTTCATATACCCCCCGAGGACGGTAATAGACGAGTTCTCCATGCCAAACGTAAAGTCGAGCGACGTGGTGTCACAGCTAAACGTGTACCCGACTGGACGTTATCATACTGGCCACCGCCGACCTGGGCATACTAGTCTCACGATACTATCCTCCAGCAGGAGGCGGCAACATCCAGGGGGCGGGCTTGTCGAACTTGCAATGGGCCTTGGCAACAAGGGCAAGTGGTCCGGACGTAGGCGTTGAAGCGGCGGTTATGAGTGATCAGTACCGTCGCCCTGCCATGGTTGGCGGTAGGTAGAGCCGTAGCAAGGCCAGCTGCTACGAGACAGACGACAAAGGCGCCAAAGGTGTGCATGGTGTGATTTGGCGATGAGCTACTCCTGCTGTCCTGTGTTGTCAGTGGTGGATATTTCACCCTATTTGATCCAACAGTCAGGTATTTGCACCGTGTGTCCATCATCATGACGCGTAGAACAAAGCCAGGCAGCGTCCTATGACTGTTTTGGGGAGCACAAGTGATTATGGTGTAGTTATGCAATATAGCTAGTTATACCTAACAGGGTTATTAGTACAACTACTATAACCTAATTTTTAAGTAAATATAAGCACCGTTTAACCGTTATTGTCCTATTGGCTATTAACCCCTGGAACTAACTCTGCACAAGATCCTTGACTTTTTATAAGATAAAATATTAAAGGAAAATTACCTAATAAACGCTACTTTCCGAGCTGTTCCGGTCAAAGAACGACCACAAAATAATATCCGTATCTCGTGTCTATCTGCTCGAGCAGCTTGTTGCCCCGCCCAACCGCTTCAGCGTCGAGGAGAATCGAATTCGTCGAAACCTTGAGGGCTTAGAAGTGGGCTGTCAAGAGCGGCCAGGCTTGGAAGCAGTGACACGCATTTATCAAGGTTACCAACGAGATCGGCTGATGATGGATACCAGAGTCTGGCACTTCCTAGTACGGCTACCCGAGTTGTATGAAGGTTTTATAAGGCAAGCGGGCTTTACATACCTTGTCAAATATACTACTCGTGTCACGCCTTATCTTGGGTTATTTTATGCAAAGCCCCTACCACCTTGGCTAATATGGGGCATGGCACGAGGTGACGAGTAGGTATAACTACACTCACCGACATCTCCGCCTTTATGGTAGGATATAATTATATAACTGCGTATTATTATAGCTAGGGGTGGGATGAACTACCTAGGTAATCAGGAGATAGTAGCGGAGCTAGTGGAGCAAGCAATTTAAGCGTTTTTAGATTACCCGCGCGAACCGATATCCCAGTGCCTCTTGAGTCTAGTGTGTCAAGGCTCTAGTAAGCCTTTTAGTACCCCTACAAGTTATAATATCAAATTGTTTCAGAAGTGCAATATGGATACTATCGTAGAGGGTGCGAGCGAGAATAAATACGGCAAGCTGCCTACCTAAATTATTGCCTCAGCATCTCTCAACAGTCTTCTACATTCTTCTTTTATAAGCCCTAGCTTTAACGATTCACCAACTTATTCGCAATGGTACGCCCTGTTATTAGTGTACTAGTTGTCGCGTTTTCTGCTATTTCGGCAGCGGCAACTATTAACAAGAGAATTTATGCTGGAGAACCAGCAAAAGAGGGCGAAGTTCCATTTATTATTCATTTTGACAATGCTTGTGGCGGCAGTTTATTAGACAAGACTACTATTCTTACTGCTGCTCATTGCTTGGCTTTTTTGCAGCCTGGCAATACGCTCTCCGTAAGGGCAGGAACGCTGGTAAGTTGTAACTCACCCTTATTTGCTAAGCTGCTTACTAGCTAGGGCATTAAGGAGTATTGACCTTGGTGCTGCTAGCAGAAGGTTTATAAGCAGCATAACGCTAATAATACATGTACAACTATAGGACAGCATAAGAGGCGGAGTGGTTGCAGAAGCTGCATGTTTTAAAATCCATCCTGAATACTATCCGGGTCGCTCACCAGCTGGTCTTTTTCACCCTAATGATATTGCCATGGTGAGATTATCGTCCCCGATCGAGAAGAGCAATGTAATTCGTTATGCGACGCTGCCGGCAAACGGCTCGGATCCCGCGGTTGGTTCCCTGGCAACAGTAGCAGGCTGGTAGGTGCTATTGGCTAAGCCCTGCCGGAAAATATGCTAACTAATATTTAAGGGGTGAGCGAAGCTCAGCTTGGGATAGCAAACTTCACAAAGTTGTTATTCCCATCCGTGAACGAAAACTCTGCTCGGATGTCGATAAAGGTCAACTTGCGGTCAGAGACACAATAGTGTGTGCTGGTGGAGATGGCAAGGGTTCATGTGACGGGGACAGCGGCGGCCCTCTTATCGATCAAAGCGAACAATTAATCGGTATAGTATCAGGAGGTCGCGACTGCGGCCTACCCTTAATGTATACCAGGGTTGGGAGTTACATCCCCTTTATCAGCGAAAATCTCGACGGCTCTGGTCCTGGTGTTTGTCCTGATGGTTGGACGAAGTTCCCGATCAAGTTCTCCTAGTCGACCACGCCGGTAGACTAATAGCTTCAGGACTACTATGGCTGCCCCGGAAATAAGAATGCCTGTTATGGATTAAAGGCAGAACAGCCTGCGTATTCTCCTGAGATTATAAGTAAATAGATACGCCTATTATTGAAGCAAAGCTTTATTATATAACCTAACCCCCCTTGCGTGTCTGCCCGCTGCCACGTAAGCTAATTCTATAACTATTTCACAGGGGTTTAATTTTAGTTGGCTGTTTTTAAGGCTTTTAATAAATTGGGGTAAATTACACACGAAAGCCTTTCTATTAGTCTATATAAAACACCCACGCACCTGGCATTCCGAGAATCGCATTATACAGGTTGGCAAGCTTTGCACTCAGGCCATCTGACTCCTTTTCCCGCTGCCTCCATGGCAGAGTTTGCGGCAGTGGTGATTTCACGTACCAAACGGTCTCCCAAAAATATTGTGCATGCTTTCCGAGTGGCATCTCGCCAGGCACATGTGGCCGCAGTTCGGGAGGCGCCAAAGGCAAGCCTGCGAGCATCCTCCCTCGGGGCTGTATCGAGGGAAGTCATGGGGCTCATTCCACCTTCCACATCATAACCTTCACTTATACAACAACTATAGGCCCAACATCTGCCGCCGTTTGGCAATTCAGCAAGACCTTTATCAATTTGATCCCGAGATGAGACCTTCCCGTTCCAGGAGGACCTTAATAGACTTGCGACTTTTGGCCAGGCGCTTATCGCCATTCGTCAACGAATATCTGATTAATTCTAAGGTGCCCGCGACCTTAAATGCCAGGCAGTAGTAGACAAAACTATTAGGTTAAATCGCCCTAATAAATAAAATATAAATATATTTAAAGATAAATTCTAAGAAAACTAGTAAAATATTAAAGGTAATATAATAATAATATAGCTAAGATTTAAGATATAGCTTTTATATAATAAGTATAATAAAAAAGACTAGAAAAAGAATAAAAAGCGCTTAAAAAAAAACCTCAGGAACCACTAGTATTACGGTTAAAGCCCGATAAATAATGTTTACTGTGCAGGCAACGGCCCACAAAGGGCCCTTCGTCAGACACTCGGATTACACTTGGAGATGGACACACTCCCGCGACCTAGGGTGTCCGCGAGAATAACGTACTACTTGATTGATACTTCTCAAACACAAAGGGCCTTTGATACCAAACAAGGTCTCTGGTAGAAAATAAACAATAGCCAAAACAGCCCCCCTCCACTGCGTCTGATATCGCGATGCCTTCGTGGGGCGTCTCCCTGCCGTCCTGGCAGAATATCTTTGCATAAACCTTGACACCTTTTATGCTATCACACTATCCCGTATCGTAGATCTTACTTCTCCGTGGTAAGCTTCTCCGTTATTCAACGGCGTTTCAACCGGACATATCTCTAGGCCCCAGGTCCCACTAACCGCCAGGTCTTTAATTACCATCGTGTTAGTATCGCGTCTTCTGACGAGCGATGGCTGCCTACAGCTACCGAGCCTTGGACGGCTACACTGGCCTTGTCGCCAAAAAGCGCCGTCGAGCTAGTCGCACATGTGCCAATCTTCATCCTTGACTGACTGCAGCGTAGTGCCCGTCTTCACCAAGGGAGAGAGAGCCTTCGACGTAACTCTGTATTCGCAAAGGATTGCCGCGACTACGGGCATTTTGTCAAAAAAAAAACAGGATTTCTTCACATCGTTACCGTCGATACCGTCGATACCCCTTGTGGTCAATACGCTGTGTATTATGCATACAGAGACTTTCTTAACTACTATGCTCTCTATGAGATTTTAGCTGGCTACTTTTAAAACCTTGGCCACTCTAGGCTCCCCTCCCATGAAACAAGATACACGACTCCGGTCAAGCTAACATGGCCTCATTTTCGCCTTTTCGCATTCTCTCACATAAACAAGCACAGGAGCCAAGGTCCACATCAAACTCGCTGAACCTCGCATGCTTCTTTTGCACCGTATTCCTCGCTAGTTCTGGCGCTAGTGGCCCTACTCGAGGTTGTCATCGTGTGCAAAGTACTGTCGCCCGAGCCGCTGGTGAAATCAGTGCTTTCCTCTGATTCCCTGCTGCTGCCGCCGGAGAGCCTCAGGTTATGGCTTCCGCGATAGCCATCTCGGCTGGCTGTTGCGCTGGCATTGGTGCCTCGGTCTGATTCGCTCTACTCCGCGGACCGTTCAGTAGTAGCACCACCGCGCCACAAGCCGTAAAACCCATCACAATTTTTCCACATCTTGATCGTTCCATCCTCGGACGCAGTGGCATACAGTTTGCTGTCGGGTGAAAAGGCAATGGACCAGATCGGCCCGTGGTGTCCTTTATGTGTATCGAGTTCAACCCCATCGTCGTATCGAATCACCTTGGCCCATGTTCCAGGCTCTTCGCCAACCACCAACTTGCGGCCCTTGACATCCAGCCCGACACTAGCAATGGAATATGGCAACACAATGCGCTTGAGCTCATCCATGGCTTGATCGCCTCCCCAGAAATACACCGTCTTGCCGGCAGAGACAGCCAAAACAGGCTTTCCGCCACCAATGTCAGTCGATGATGCTAACTCCTGTGCGACCGACACCACTTCACATGACTTGATTTCCCCATCAAGAACTTCATGCTTGATGCACGATCTGCTGGGCAGGTCGAGCCAACGGATGGTCTTATCGGAAGCCGTAACAACAATGTTTGGGTCTTTTGTCCAGCAAATGAACTTGATGGAGCTAGTATGGACACCCTCCCCGATTTCGAACCCGGCCGAGGCGGGAATGGTGGCAGCTTTTCCCGGATACGTCTTGGCAAGTTCAGCAAGGTCGAAAACGCGAAGCTTCTTTTCCATGCCACCAGTCGCAACAAGATCCGAGTTATCGGGGGGGTAGGCAACAGCTCGGACAATATGATCGTGCTGGAGGCTGTATAGCACCTCTCCGGTGTGGGTATCCCAGATTTTGCTGAATGGCGAGTCAGTGTTAGCCCAGGTTTTTGTGAAATATGAACAGTATAAAACGTACGCTGTGAAATCAGCCGATGCAGTGGCTGCGTTGGAAGCGTCGGGGCTCAATCTGGCTTGCCAGACCGCACCCTTGTGACCGATAAACGTGCCAATCCTGTCTTTGTTGTTAACACGGCTTTCGAAGGGCTCAAGTCCTTTAGCAAGATCATACCAATCGCCAGTAACACCATCTCGAAGCATCGGGTTTCCATCTATAGCAACAGTTAGTCGTCAGTCCATGTTCTCGGGTCGTATGCAGGCACGACAAAGCAGCCTAGACCAACCTTTACAGGCCGAGATCATGTAGTATGTTTCCTCCTTCTCCAGGTGAGAGAAGCTCATGTGGGGGACCGGGCGAGAATGGCCATGGCAGGTCAGCGGCACATACTGCCGAGGAGCTTCGGAAGTCATGGTGCGTGATATGGTCTAGTGTACAGGGGATTTTGCTGATTTCGAACGTGGGTTCAAATTCTAAAGGCAAGTCGAGTCCCGCTGCGAGCTTGACGGTGCAGAAAGAGCGCGGCAACCGCAAGGATTGTCTAGTGGTATAATTCTTGCAAGAGTGTATGGCAAAATGCAGTGTCGTTTGGATCGTGATCGTCAGAGGCGTAGCAAAGAGTCTTGAGACAATGAAAGGCGTGGAGGTTAAACCACACGGTTGGGCGAGGAGAGACAGAACGAGGACTCGGTAAGCGGCGCGATTTCGTCCACCGTCCGCAAGAAATGAACGTGACAGCGACTGACGAGTCCGTCGAAAGCCAGCACGGGCCGGATGTTGTGGGAGCGGACGGGACGTGAAAGGAGAGTGGAAAGACGAAGCGGCAATGAAAGCAGTTCTGGGAGAGGCTTCCAAAAGTTGAGCCGAGACTTTTGGCGTGACAGCATCTGGCCGTTTCGGCATTGGGCGAAACAGAAGCAAGCGTGGGGCTGTCGGACTTGAGTCAAGAAGGAGCGAGGGACATGACATGGGGCGCCAGGTGAAAAGTGCAGGTGCAAGCGGACAAGACTCAAGAACCTGAACCCTCTGACACGCATGACATGGCAAGGGCGTTTACTTTCGCGGCATCCAAGAATAACACGGGCGCTGTCTGCACTCATTTTGGCCACTCAATTCATTTAACTTGGTACATATGGAGATAGATTCTAACAGAGTACTCCTTACCAGACTTCATGTCCTTACCGGCATCACTTCACCAGAGCAGAAGATTGATTGTCGGAGGGCAAGAGGGTCAGAGGGAAAGGGAAGGAACGGGGCCGGAGGACCAACCAAAGACTTGTTGAGCCACATGAGGCGGTTGGCGGGGTAGTTCCTCCCCTCAGTTCTCTCCTGAAGCCAAGTGCCTTGCACCCCAGGTACTTAAGTACCCAGTACTCCGTACCGAAGGTGTGAATGGCCATCCGGGCAGTAAGCCAGTGGCGCTGACCAAGGAACCAGGTACATGTACCTACTTACTTAGACGCAAGTACCTTGGCCTATCAGACATCACCATCTCTTGAGATCTCCAAGCTTCCATCAACGTCCACCTCTCACCTCGGCCCCATTCACCTTGTGCCTCCCGTTTGTGGCTTTGACTCATGTCTCGTTCCGCCTCCGTCAAGCGTTGATGCTCTGCTGTGTTTTGGTTCTTCCAGTCATTATTTGTGCACATTGGGCCCATTTGCTCCGTGCTACCAGGCGCGGGGTATCAAAACAGTCTCCTTCTTGCTCCAATAAGAGAGCTCCACCAAAGCTCCGACTCCGCCAGTGACCACGTCGACGTCACTGGATAATCAGCAACTACATACTTGTTCTCTCGCGCTCTGCAATATCGAAACAGTTGTGCAAACAGGCTAGGAGAACCACCTCACCAATTTCAAGCCGCAGCTGCCAAGATGGCCCAAGACTTCAAGCTGTCCGCGCAGCTCATCGGCCATGAAGCAGATGTAGGTTTTACCAATGACCGACAGGCTCAAACAAGCCCTTTCGCGGCTTTTTGACGTCTTGGCCCCAGCTAACACCTTCTATGC